TTACAATGTAATAGTGTGCCCTAGAACCTGGTAAAGTAAAACCTAGCAGAATACTCATTCATCAGTTGAAGCCAGTATGATGCAAGTAGGGCCTGATAGGGAGCTGGGTTTTGATTGCTAAAGAAGAAAAACTAGATAGTTGCGAAGGTCGGGCTTGTGTTAGGCTTTAGAACGGCATGCAAGCATAGCTAAAACGAAAATACGTGACAAATACCTACTTTAGTTCTATGAAACTCGCTAACTGTGAGTCCGACTGCGATTAAAGATGGAACAGTGCTATATCTGGTATTCCCCTCTGAGTTGGCTGCCAAGAGGTGCGAACGTTAAAGCTTTCCATTCGCCTCTCAAAAGAATAGTACCTTCCAAATGAACGCAAACGAGACCGCTCTGTCTTTCGATGTGAGTGTACTGCATTGCCATTTGGTACGGCCGCTCCAGAGGAAAATAATGGAAGCTCGGGAGATACGCCGCCTCAAGCCAGAGATCAATGCGAAAGAGGAGCTACGTGACCTTCTGAGACTCATCGCATAATCACCGACCACCCATTTGTCTCATTGTCATAGCGCGGGTCATTTACTGTCCTTGTCACCCCGCCGATAGGTCCGTCCCCTCAAGGCCTGGTATGTAAGGTTTTACGCATTGCTCGTTGTAGCTATTATATGTTTGAAATTGTAATTTAAGGCCTGACGAAGGCATTATATGCCGAAAGCTTGCCAATAAAGTTGTTAAACAAGTCAAGAGCTTCAAGCACACTGTTCAAGTCCTTTTAGATGTACTACTAACATACTGGTATTTGGGATGAGCGGATGGAGAAGAACTCGTCTGTGTGAGTAGGATGATGGGACCATCAACTCAGAAAAAATGGAACTGCGCTGCGAAGATGCGCTGCGTTAGCGTGCCTTTTTCTACGCTCAAAAATGCACAGGGCTGTAGGGTAGTGATACGGGGGTACCGTTCGATACTCCGCCCGCACGGAACACGGTCACCCACACGCCTTGCTATAGGCAGATGTGCTGCTTGTCTGCGCCCTCTAACTTCTGAGTGTTCTCTACAGCTGACGGATAGCACGGGCGGATTGCGCAAATGACACCGGGTACCTATCCTCTAGCACGTTTGCATGCGTTTTCAAGCAAAGAAAGTGGCACGCTACTGCAGTTGTAGGCCCGTTCACCTTGCACATAGCAAAGACCGTCGTCGGCGGTGAGTGCAGTGCTTGTCTTGAGTGACAAGAAGCCCATAAGTCGCAATCACTCGGATCGCGCTCCTCAGGCGACACTGCGATTCTGAAATAGGAGTGGAGTGCGTTGCTTACCTTTTTGCTCGCTCATCGGTTTCGAGATCGATTCCTCGTACCTCTACGTACTGTGCGTCTCTTTCTACCGAATTTGGCCGTGGTGGGAACCCAGTCATTGCTAATTGGGGAATATTCAAGAAAACAGGGAAAATACCTCTTTCCTCTCGAATCCCATCTGGTTGTTTCTGATTATGTTAATATAAACTTTGCATCTGTGACTGAGGAAACCGTTCCCTGTCGAAATTTGGCTTTTCTGGAGAAGACATTCTAAGTAGCCGTTACGTGATATTATTGAATCTCAATAATATCACGTGACCAATTAAAGATGGGTAGAATCTCATGCGTCCTTACTTAAGTGGGATGGCGAAGGTCTTATAGATATTCTTAGTAGAGCGAAGAAGGGCACAAATGGTGAGTGCGTGTCAGAAGCTCAATAAAACGCTGGGAAACGATGAAGGTCGATGTTGATCAATCCATTTTGGGACCACACATTGTTCTTCTGTTGAAATTTGCAGTG